AACCGTGGTCTGTTAAGGCACAGGAACAACTTTCCTTCCACGACATTTTCATCGATCTTCAACTTGTTGGTTAAATACATTCGTGTACCATTAGCTTGCAACTAAAAATCATTAAGGGTATTACAATTAATATTCATATATATATTATTTATTTATAAAGGATAGGGCGAAGGCAACTGACAATCCTAATATCATACACAAATGTTATATTTTCTTTTGTTACAATAAGACGTCAATTATAATGCTTCATAATAGAATATGAATTATAAAAAATGTTTTTGACCTTTAGCGACTTTTTAGAATTAATTTTTGATTTTTTTTTTTCATAATAATAAAAAAAACGTAACGCACAAGCACAGCATTTTTACGTTTAACAGTACGACCAAGTGTTTAAAGCTAATACCAACGTATTTTATCAATACAATTGTCATCTAAACTAGACCTCACGAAACTACTGACTAAAAACAATTTTAACACATTTTTATATCTTATACTGTATGAACGAACAGAATATATCAGTATTAAACTGACTGGAATTGTTTTGTTAAAAGTAATGCTCCACGGGTACGATGGTATTTAAAAAATGTACAAGCCTATATTATTCATATTCGAAGTAATAAAAACATAAATGTCGGACTTACTATTTTAAACGAGTTTCTCTGGGAGTCGGCATACTTATATTGTTGATCTGTGAAGCATAATGATCCACGCCCCTTAAAAGCTGAAGTCGTACGCACCATTACATCTTTCGTGAGACCTACGCCTTCTACTAACAATGTAATTTCGACGTATTGGTTGTTATCGACGATGGTAAAGTTGACAACGTTTGCTGATAGCACGGCACAAATATGGTCGTCGTGAGTATATTCGTGTTGAAGCCCAGATCCACCCGTGGCGGTACCAATGTCCAACCAAAGCGTTAGCAGTGCAACCGATAAGACAATATAGATTTTGAACATGATGACGTTGTCGAATACACACAAAAGAAATTGTTTTTATGATGGGAAATTCACTAAAAACGGGCAAAAGAAATTCGCGACCGAACGAGTAAAGCCTTCGTGAACGAATGACGATTGCCAGAGCTGGCGTGTGACACAAACCTCAGCCGACCCCTCTAGTAATAATTGTTTGACAGGCAAAGTCGTCCTGACAATTATTGCCGTTTATTAATCCATCCTGCGAGAAACGCTAGTATTCATCGACCCTCCAATTTATCAACGGGTTCCCTTTGTTGGTTTATCCGTTTTAATTCGTTTCCAGACCGGGACAATTAATACAAATTGAGCAGTGTGCATGAGCTATAATAATCTTTATTGTGATTTCTATAGCGTCGTATTTCCCATTGTCTGAACACCGTACGCCCCATCGGTGCAGTGCAAACCGGCACAGAACGAGCCATCGCAAAACATGTACGTACATATAAGTCACTTTAAAAAAAGTAAAAATAAAAACATTTATTTTATCTTGATTTTATAGTAGTTACCCTTAAATCGTAATTAACAATATAATGTAAATAGATTTATTACCCGTTGACAACAAACAACAGCCTATAAACGACTTTTATGCTCTAGATTTTATTTCAAATAATTCTGAAAATTATTGTTGGAAAAAAACAAATTAAGTTGCGAACCATGGTCATTTACTACATTATTTTTTTGATAAATATTAAGCGACGAAAATCTTTTAAAAATAGGACACACAATTCAGACGTGTGACTTTTACAAAGCCAACATCATTACTCTCAATATAGCACACACCGATTGGCTTTCCCTCAGTAATTTTGTTTACTAAGGTTTCTTTTTACAATTATAACACTTTTTAACAGATTGTTGGACCACCTCTGACGTATTTAATTATTAAACTTGAATCACCTTTAGACGCCTTTGATGTAATTCTTCCTACAAACCTTTTAATTGGCTTTATTGATTACTGGTTAAATCTGCGTTTACCCAATTTATTCTTCCATTTATATCAAATGGTCATAGTGAGACTTAGTGATTTTAGTGTAACACATCGTATACATTGTTGAGTAATGAACGCTTAGTTTGAATAATATTTAGATCTATATTAAGACTAATAATTCAATAGATGTTTAGCGAATAACAGAAAAGTATCTATATCTAGAAAAAACTGTTAAGCAAACTTATGGTTAAATATATAGTCAAGATATAAAATCTACTTGAACCCTAAACCATAAAAATTATACACTTCTTGCGTACACGTGTTACGACAACGATGTTGTCATCTTCAGCGCTAACAACAGACTCTTTTTTTTTCTTTTTTTGGACTTAAGTCCCAGTTTAACAAATTTGTCCTCTTTTTTAACATTTCTATTGCTTCCCTAACATTAAGTTCTTTAGAGTTATTTACATTTTTTAGTAATTTTACTGATTTGATACTATGATTAGTGTCCAATAAATGTTCCGCAACAGGAGATTTGTGTACTTCTTGGTTTTTGATGTTCCTTATGTGTTCTTTAAACCTAACCCCATTATTTCTTTTTGTTTGACCTACATAACATTTAGCACACTCTTCACATTGTATTTTATAAATCCCGGATTTTTCTTCTTCCCCTATTTTATCTTTGGTACTACCTAACAAAGATTTTAAGTTAGTACTTTTCGATGCGACTAGAGTTACACCGTAATTTTTAAAAATGTTTGTTAACCCCTTTGAAATACCTGGAAAATAAACCATACCAGATCTAATAATTTTTTCATTATCCCTCCTACTGAGCGTTTTGGCTGTTCTACTTCCCTTGACCATTTATGCTTATTGACTAATCTAAAAATCATATTTGGATCATACCCATTAAATTTAGCTATTTCAATTATTAAGTTAAGTTCTTTATCAAAATCATTTTTTAACATAGGAATATTTACTAATCTACAAACCATACTGTTGAATACTGCCATTTTGTGTTGCCAACTGTGATTCGAATTTTTCGGTATGTACCTAAATGTGTGAGTTTTCTTCCGATAAATCTCAAAACCTAAATAATTGTCCTTTCTTTTAATTAGTAAATCAAGGAAAGGTAACTTTCCATTGATTTCTTTTTCATACGTTAATGTAATTAGAAGGATAATGAGAATTTATATTTTGAAGAAAACGATCAATATTGAAGTCTTTATCTACTATAGCAAAAATGTCATCAACATACCTAAACCAAACTTTCGGAAAATTATTATTACTATTTTTAATATTTGTTTCAAACCTACTCATAAACACTTCCGCCAAGAAAGGTGACAATGGATTACCCATTGCTGTGCCTTCAATTTGTGCATAGAACCTATTCTGAAACTGAAAAACATTTTGACTCATACATAATTTTGTTAAATTTATTAACTCACTAACCCTGTCTTTTTCTATATTTAAATTATTTAACCAATCTATTAAAAAATCTCTTGTTATGTCTATAAGAATACTTGGGAATAAAGCTACCACGTCGAAATATATCAGTCTATCGTTTGGTTGGATTTCGTAATTAGTTAGCTTGTTAACTAGTTCTATGTTGTTCCTAACTGAAAAACTATCAAATTTCTTAAATAATAAAAAAACGTTAAATAAATATTTAGATAAATTATAAGTTGGAGCATTAATATTTGATACAATAGGTCTCATTGTATTTCCTGGTTTGTGAATTTTTGGTAAAGCATATAATTTTGGCAATTGAGGATTTGAAACCCTAATAAAAATCTTACTTTTTTCCTCAATTACCAGTTTAGACTTATTAATTACGTTGGTAGCTTCTCTAATCATTTTGCTTAAGGGATTCATTTTTAATTCTTTATATGTACCTTCATTAATCATGTTTAAAATCCTATTAAAATAATCTAGTTTCTTGAGTATTACAATTGAATTCCCTTTATCAGATTTTAAATAAAAACAATCTTTAATTTTTAGATTATGTATGAGTCGTGAACGTTTTATATTCTCGCCTAAATTTAAATCCTGCGGAGAAAATGAATTAAGAAAGTTTAAACATTGTCTTCTAGCTAAATCTTGATCCTGAAAATTAATATTTTTAACCCCCATTTCTATACCTACAACGACGTCTTCTATTGGGATTTTTGGCGGTGTGACACTTGTTTTTAAACCCAGTTTTAGTATATCAATTTCCTCTGTGGAGAACCTAACATCAGAAAAATGTTTAACTAAATTAATTTCCCATTCTATGGCCAAGTAACTATTGGAACTCCCACTACTATTATTGCTACTGCTAACTCTATCATCCCCCTTTCTTATTTGTTCTGAAATCAAATTTTTATGTGTTTTGTTTAACTTCATATTTATGTTCGATCACACAGAACATTTTTTGTTCAAAAATGTCCCAATGTGAACGATGTAAATACTTAGCTAATTTTAAATGTATCTGATATGCTTGGATCTCTAGCTTGCTTCTATTACGGTAGTGATTTGCTATTACTAATTTTAAGAATTTCTCCTGTGCGTAACCTATGGATTTTGAAAAATTAATATTGTTATTGTTATTTGACTTACTAAACAATCTAGCGAATTTTGGTAAACTGTATACATTTCTTTAGAAAACAAATATCTGCCCCAATTAACCGTATCTTTGTCTTTGTTTGCATGAGTTTATTCAACTCACTCTTATGCTCGAAAGGCCCGGACGCCATGTTAATCTAGAAAAACTGTTAAGCAAACTTATGGTTAAATATATAGTAAAGATATAAAATCTACTTGAACCCTAAACCATAAAAATTATGCACTTCTTGCGTACACGTGTTACGACAACGATGTTGTCAACTTTAGCGCTAACAACAGAATAGTCTGTGTGGATAGTAAGTTTGAATGAATACAGAACGGAAAGCGCAACAATAATAATTGTCCGGTAGCAACAACAATGACATACAATAATAATAACAATTTTAATAATAATAATAGAAATACAAATATAAACAAAAAAAGTGCAGTAATATAAAATATACATTATATAGAAAAAGAAAACAATGCGATATGTATCGACCATCATCAATGTGTCAATCAACGACAACGCACGGCGCAGCTCGGTATAGACAATTAGCGTTGGACATATAATAGCCGTTGAAGTCTATTCTCATGGCGAGCGTCCCTAATCCTTGCGATTCGTTGTTCATTAGTTTTACTAAAAACGCACCGAGCTCGAGTTCGTGTGTTTTTTGTACGCGTTTAAACTGTTCAATAATCAAATCGTATTGACTTTTAGAGGCATCTGTCGTTTGATGTGTTTGTCGGATAGCCAAAAGTTGGTAGAAAACTGCTTCCAGCTTTTGGACATTCAGTTGAAACGAGTCGATATACCCCTTGAGTGACGCATCATGCACGAATACCGCCAACGAACCTAAAAATACCCTGTGCTCTTTGATAACAATATCGATAGATTTGGCTCCGCTTATTTTGCTCCAGAAAAGTTCCCATTCGTTATTGATCATCTCGAACATGAAGTTTTGGATCTCGTGCATGCAATTGATCATGTTGGACAATAGTGCGTTGAAGTTTCTCAAAATTTGTTTCGGTTCGGTGACCATGTGTTTTTTTTTCACAAAATGAGACAAATCGTGCCAGAATTTGTTCATGGTCCAGTCGACTTTCTTCATGCACCACAGGAACTGGAATACGTTCGTGTACACCTTAGCGTGGGGGCTGAATATCCTGTTGAGTGGTTCGCCGATGGCGTACTCGAACTTCAGACTGCCCCAGTCGACTGTGGTTTCGGTCAGATCGATTCTATACCTAAGACTGTCGAACACCTTACGGTCGTCGTTTCCGGCCGACGTGGATTCGTAGGCGTCTTCCATGATACCTTTGAGTTGGTAACGGTGCATCGTGTGTCTGCCGAAAAACGTCTCTAATTTGTAGACGACGTAGGCGTAAAAATCGCCTCGGCCGAACAGCATGTAATTCCGGAGACCTTCGAAATGCACGAACAAGTCGTATTCGTCGGCCAGTGTTTCCAAGAGTAAGTCCGAAGTGCAAACGCAAGCCTCGGCCACTACCAACGACGAAGGGCCGTCGATCAACGAGGCTATTAATCCTCCCTCTTGGCCCGACAGTGATTGTTGTATATAATCTCCGATCACTGCTATCTTGGCCTGCAGCCGCAGAGAACTGCAGACGTTTAACAAGAACCGCATGTTTCTGCCTGTTCGGTAAACGTCTTGCAGCCGCGATTTTTTCGCAAAAACCAACTTGTTTGATTCACTCAAAACAACACTGTCGGCTGACCAATCATCCAATGCTGCGTTGTCGGCAATAAAAAATTCGCAGTGTTCGTCTTCCAACACACCGGCGGCCATCCAACGCACCATCGTGGAATGTATAGGTTTGGTGATTTCTTTCAAAATCGAATTTTTCGCTTCGCACGAATCCGACCTCGCCACAGCGGATATCAGGGAACAACCTGTTAGGCCTCGGGCGATTTGCACCACTTTGGTCAAGTATCGTAGTCTGGATTCCACACTGCGGTCGAGAGGCGCGCTTTTACTCAGGAAGTCGACGGGGCTCTTTTGGTTCAAAGCCTTGCAATTGGTATGCAGCCAAGAATTGATGTACGCGTGGTAGGAGTCCATTTCTTTTTGCAGGACGAGCAGCAGGGCTTGCACTACGCTTCCGTTATTGGCTTGGTATTCGGTTTTCACAAACGACACGATTGTGCCGTACAGCATTCCTACTTCGGACAATTCTTTTACGATGAACTTCAAACTCGGACTTAACGCGTCCGACCGCGTTTTGCTTGTGATCGACCGCGCACCGCGGCTGAAATCGATCAAGTCGAACAGTGTCTCCCAATCCAGGGGATCTTTGAGCGGTCGAGTCTGGAGGGAAGGCAAATCATCGTGAACGGGCTTGTTTTCGGTTTCACCGCAAACGGATCCGTTCGTTTTTGTTGTTTCACGAAAACATGTATGTTGCAGGTTAGGTATTTTATTTTCGAACATCTTATGGCAAACGCGAAACACGGAATAAAACATGTCGATTCGGTCGCAAAGTTCGGACGTTTGACGATGGAACGCGGCTAACAACGACAAAAGCAGTTCTTTTTCAGGCGTGTCTAATTTTTTTTCCATTTTTTCTTCCGGCAAATTGTAGTAATCTGCACTTGATTTACCAAACACTGAATCATACATTTCGTCCAAAGACGCCTGCTGTTCGTTGTCTTTCGGACTAGAAGTATCCATTATTGAAGTGAACAGAAAAAAAAAACAAATTTGATTAAAGACTAATTATTAGCTACAAAAATATTTTCATACTAAAAGGAAATAAATGAAAAACTAAACAGTTATTTGAACCTAGTGAATTATTTATTTCAAAATTATTAAAGTAAAATGTTGATAAACTGCAATTGATTTTCGGCATAGTTGCCAAGGAACGATATGAGTTTCGTCGGTTAAGTTGTTCATTTTGTTATCAGTGGTTGTACAAATCCTTAGACTACAACGACATTGTCAGACTAAAAGAAACCTGAGATTTAGTTTAAATATCAAATTTTTAGCGTGTGACCGTAATTGACTAATCTCTGTAAAAAGTTGTGACTCATGTCATAAAACCACAGTACTAATCTAAATAAATAATGTTACAACTTATTTTATCAGCTATTTCTTCTTCCATGAAATTTTAATGTACGCCAGCCACATAAAAATTCGATTATGTTTGCTATTATATTACTTGGAAACCATGTTAATCGACATGGATAAAACGTTGAAAAAATTAATTAGATAAAATAGTTTTATAGTTTTTTTTTTTATAATCCATCAATTTCAAGTGAATAATTTCGAGGGTTTTGTACACAAATGTTATTTCAATTGAGTACATTTTAATTAAGACGGCTTAATACGGCTATGAGTTGGCAACCAGAAAATCATAATATCATGGTTAGTACCTAATTCATAAGTTATGTGTCGTCGGTACACAAAACAATTGTTTTTATTGTAAACGTAAAATGCTTCAAAAATTATTACGGTATATTTTGTTTATTTTCATGTCGAATTGTTAAGATGCCATTTTATTTATTTTAACTGTTCATTTGTTATTTAATGAATTAGCAAAATATTTATATATTATTTAAATTTAATAAATCTTTCGATATACGTACGTACAAGATCTTTACACATGTGCAACATATTTATGTTGTTATTACAATTTTATAAGTGTAAATGGAAAAACTCTAAAAATCAGAAATCCTTAAAATTTTCCTAAGTTAACTGTTTATTTCAAAACTAAATTTCTATGCAGAAAGCCAAAAAACTTTAATTATGATAATGTCACTGGTTATCACATTTTGCTACTTCATTAATCACACAAAAAAGTTCCAAACAATGATGAAACTATGACTGAAAATACCATGTAGATAAAAATTTGGTTTTATAGTATTTATACATGCGTTCGTTAATCATAAGATTAATACACACACCTACAAATTTGTTTCACCCTGACCAGCGGACTTGAACCACACTAAATGTTTTTTTATTTTATTAAACACTAGAGTAACATTATCCAAAAAAATATAATCGGATTTTATAAATGTTTTGTCGAAGTTAACTGTTTATATATGACGAGTGTGCCACAGGTACCAAAGTCATTTTGGTTGCCTTAAATAATACCGACAAATGTAATTTGTGTTATGTGTACAAAGTTGATTTTATTGTGTTTTTCTACATTTATTTCCTATTAATATGCGTTCTATCTACATACATTTATATGTATTGCATAAATGACTTAGGGTCACCTGTGCATTATGTCTATTGATATCATGTTGACATATTTTAAATTGTGTTAAAACAGATGGATTTGTGACTTCATTGGCTATCGTCAATACTTTTATTCCTAATTGGAGTAGTTTTTATTTACACATTAGATAACTATACAATTTTGTTAAGCAGCCACCCCGATTAGATATATCGGAGCCGCCAGCTTATGAAAACTGTTGTCCAGATCCCCAGTTGCCAACATATGAAGAAGTTGAAATGGAAAAACTTCTGGAATGTGAAATGACTCCACGATTACCTGTGAGTTTAATAAATGTTCACGTAAAATTATAAGTGTATTACATCAAATATTATTTAATACCGTATCATGTTCCAGGGGAGAATTATTAGGCCGCCTACCATTAAAACAAATTCACAGGAGATATGGTTTTTTTTTTTATATTGTAAGAGTTGTTTTAATAGCACAATTGTCTTCCATTAGGTTGGATTTATAGTACAAACCAGTTTTTTTAAGTTTAACTGTATTATTAAAAACACTACATACATTACTTATATGAGTTAGGATTATATTTTAACACATTTACTCTTATCAAACTGTATTAAAAAATGTTAACGACACAAATTCATAATTTTTTCCTCGTCACACAGCGAACAGTAGAGAAAATGGCAAAATTTGACGGTTTTTATAAGAAGGGGCACAAGTCGTTTTTGAACATAATTTTCTAATAATAATGTATCCTTTTTATAAAACTATTATGTCACTCCTTATTGTTATAGCCCGAAATTTTGTATTATAAGCTGTAATTTAAACGATTTAATTACCAATATTTAACATTAAAACTTAATAACTCAAAACATGAATATAACAGTACAGGCAATGTTATTATAACCATACAGTCGGTCCAACATTTTCTCAGTTACAGATAACGATAAGAATTTTGATCAATAGATATTAGTTAATAACAAAATGTGGTAATATTGTTTTTGATAGGCGTTATTGTGTAATATGTGTTTGTTTGTTTATATCTACATAATTTTTTCCTCCAAACTCCATTTTTTGTAGTACCTATTGTGTAGTTAAATTGTAATAAAGTAAAATAATGTTTACAGGTACGAACGCCAGACATATCGATTCAATTTACGGTAACCGACGATGATTTGAACCCATGTGTAGTCATTCCAAATCCTTGTGAAGTAGATACTTGCTTACTCGGCACAGACTACATGTTTCTGATGGCATTTTCGGGTATATTATGCTGAAATTGTTGGCACTTTCCTATAATCGCAGACTACCGTTTAAGGCGGCCTACCAATATGGCTAGGTAGGTAAACTATGACGAGGTTACCTCGGTTGTCACCGGGACTCCCACATAAAATCGGTCGCCGTTATTGTGTATAGCGCCGCTTATCTGTATACTCTAAGATCAATAGTACAACTCTAAATGTAGCCTCATTATATAACGATTAATATATACATTTTTCATTTCTAAGGAAAATTGTTTTATTGGTTTTTCAACGGGGCGCCCATTTTTTTCGAGGTGGTCAAATACGCCATGCGTTATTTTTCCTCTGGGGAGCTAGTGTTGTAGGTAGGTACTTCTCTTTTAAGACTCCCATTTGACGTTAATTTTGATTAAATCTAAAAACATAAGTAATTACGATAAGCAACAATGTTGCCAATAGTAACAAAAAAATTGGTAGCCTGCGGTAACAGGAAAATACCGAGTTCTACTTGAATTCGTTTTTTAAAAGAGTTTCAATTAAAATGTTCTGCTTACAACAAACAATGGCAAAAAATGTTTTACTTAGTTCTATCTACGGCAGTGAGAATTTTGCCATGGTTCTATCTATCTGGTATTCTACTACCGTTTTCCCGACAGTGATAAGAAACAGCTGATAAAGGATGTCGATAAGCTGATAAAGGATTAACGATTAGAGGCATCTGTTAAGGAATCAGTGATAAGAATTGGGAGGGCGTCATAAAATGTGGCTAATTGAGGTGAGGGGGATTGGAGAATGTTTTTCCATGAAGTGGAGAATATGTTAAATTTGTTTTGTAAAGTCGGTAGAAATTTAGTTGGTAAGTATTTAGTTACACGTTTGTTTGTTTGTTTTGTCTTATATAGTGTCATTTATTTTCAACTGGCTTGGTTTTCTGGTTATAATGTGCAATTGTCAAAAAGTAGCGCCTCGTTACGGAGCATTAGCCGGGTTGGGTCTATCGCTGGCAGAATTGACAATAATTCTGAAATGGAACACTGAACTGACAAACTCGCCACTAGAGTATTGTACAAACCCATGGCTATGTTGGTTACTCATCGCATTTGGATTTTTCATTTTTATTCGTACTGTAGTACAGTACATACATATCAAACGTCGTTGGAGATTTCTTAGTGTGCCCGAACAGGAACGAGCATTAAATTTCTATTAAATGGCAAGCTGAATTACACACACTTCTTGACTAAATAAATTCGATTGTACTATTGAACTAGATTTATGTTTTATCTAGCTAAATAAATATATTAATAAACAATATATAAATAACCATATATTATATGTGTATGTATAAATTAAGTTAAAATAATACTTTTATGTTTATGTTTAATCGATCAAATTAATTAGATATAGGCCTGAAAACTATATGGCTTTTGTTTTTTTTTTTAATAATATTTATGAGTTATCATAGTTTTCCCGTAAGTATCGAACACTGTGCTAACTTCCAATCGTTACCAAGTATTGGAAAACAATGTCCATTCCATTTGCCTAACAGAGCTTTTCACTCGAGTACTTTTCTTCATACTAGCATAGATTAAACAGGGTGTCCCACAAAGATAAGACAAATAAAATAACCTTTGTTCTAATGAATATTTTTCAGATTTTTTTTTTTAATATTAATTTATACTTATTTACGCTATAAGCACCCCGTTTTTTATGACACTTAAATATTTTACTTTTTTTAATTATTTTTTTTGTTACATTTAAAATAAAAAAATTCAAGATTATTATTAATTTATTGTGTAATAATTTGCTGTGAATTTTGACTGGTCCATAACCAGTTTTGGATTATTACTTTTTAAGTTATTTCAGGTTAAAGGTAGGACGGGAGGTGGAGTGCGATACAGACCTTGAATTTATGCTAACTGAACCCTATAATTGGTTTTGTCATTCTACGACCTGGCAGTTAAGCTATAAATTGTTATATATAAGACATTGGACAATGGTATGTCCTTTAAAAATAATAAAAGTGGCCTAAACTCGTTGGCCGTTTATTGAAGAAGCAGTAACGCAGTAACATTTCGGAGACTAGTTAATCGAGAGACGAGAACTTGTTTGACGTCGATAAAAAAAACCAAATAATAAAAATGTACTTGGCAAAAACAAATTCGTCAATAATGTCAACTCGATAGACAAAAAGGTCTATTTCAGACGGAAAAATGAAATCGATTAGTAACAAAAAAAAGTTTAAAATAAAA